GGAGGCTCCTGGGTCAAAGGCTTTGACCACCTGGTAGATCCACTCCTCCCTGAGAGGTAACTGGATCACAAGAGCTCTGGCTTAACCAATGGCTTTATCCACTGACAGGTTCAAAACTGAATGGGCTAAGGGGGAAGGGTCTGTGGAAACTGTGGCAGGCAGGATCTGTTGGGAGAAGTAGTCTGCTGGGGATGGGCCTTTCAAAGGTCTTATCCCCCTATCTTTTCCCTACTCTTTCCTGTCTTAGACTCCCAGCCTCTAGTCACCATGATGTGAGCAGCCTCTTCCATCCCATGATCCTGCAGCCATCATGCTCTGTCTATTTCTTATTTTCCCAAGGCAGGGTTTCTCTGGGTAATAGTCCTGGCTGTCCTGGAACTTGCTCTGTAGACCAAGCTGACCTCGAACTCACAGAGATCCGCCTGCCTCTGCCTCCCGAGTGCTGGGATTAAGGGCGTGCACCACCACCACCTACCTGACTATGCTCTGTCTTGCCTCTCACCTCAGGCCCAGAGTCATGGAGCCAGCTGGTCTCCGTGAATATTGACTATCGATGATTCCGTGGCCTCCGTGAATGTCTGTGGTTCCGTGTTAGCTGTTGTCGCTTTATTGCTCTCAGGAATTTTGTCACAGCAACGAACAGCTGACTAATGCACCACTGAGTACCATATGCATGCAAAGCACATTGCAGGACCCATGGACAGATCATCACCCAGCCCGAAGTGCCAATCACGTAGACTTGAGAAGTCACTGTGAAATCCACAGGGACAAATGATGCTGTCACATTGTGTTCTGTCGTCACCAGGGTTAGGGAGATCTTGTGGGAGAGAGCCCCAGAATGAGGTCTGTCAGGTAGTGGATTGCTACTAAATGTCTGTATGTCTGGCATCCAGTCTTTCGGGATAAAGCCTACCGTATCTGCTTTGATTTTGGTAGTGGCAGAGGAGAGCCACCTGCTTCTGTCTTCCTAAGTTGCCACCTCCTGTTTTATACTTTTCATCAGCAATGGATCTTCCAGGGGAGAGGAAGGGGGGTGATGTTCTAAAGTCAGCTCCAAATTCAGGTGTGATTTTGTCATTCATTAGCAGCCTACTGACCTGGTTTTTTGTTTTTTGTTTTTTTTTTGTTTTTGTTTTTTTTTTGGTTTTTTTCGAGACAGGGTTTCTCTGTAGCTTTGGAGGCTGTCCTGGAACTCACTTTGTAGACCAGGCTGGCCTTGAACTCACAGAGATCCGCCTGCCTCTGCCTCCTGAGTGCTGGGATTAAAGGCGTGCGCCACCAACGCCCGGCAACTGACCTGGTTTTTAAAATGAATAACTTTATGGGCTGGTAGTGTAGCTCAGTTGGAAGAGTCCCTACCTACTGTGCACAAAGTCCTAGCCTTGTTCTCCACCAGGCATACCTGAGATCTTGGCATCTGGGAGTTGTAAACAGGAAGATCAGATCAAGTAATCTTGTATCTCAAAATTGGGGCCAGTGAGCTGGGTGGAGGGGGGTGGTGGCACACACTTTTAAATCCCTACATTGGGAAGCAGAGGCAGGCAGATCTCTGAGTTTGAGGTCAGCCTGGTCTACAGAGCGAGTTCCAGGACTGCCAGGACTACATAGAGAAACCCTGCCTCAAAAAAAGAAATGACTAACTAACTAACTAACTAACTAAATAAATAAATACAAACAAAGTCAGGACCAGTGACATGGTTCAGTGGGTAAAGGTGTTTTTTCTAAAAGCCTGATGACCTTTATCCAATCCCTGAAATTCACATAAAGATGGGAGGGTAGATTCATGTGTGCATGCACATGATAAACACACATATTAATAATGAATTAAATTGATTTTTTTAAAGATGGGCTGTTGAGAAGGCGCCAAGGCTGACAAGTGAGTTCAAACCCCACAGCCCAATAGAAGAAAAAGAATGGACTTTCCAAGCTGAGTGCCTATATGCACATGTCCAGAACACAAAGAAATCATTTTATCAGAAAAAAGAGAAATTCAAGGTCATTGTCAGCTACATATTAAGTTCAAGGCCTGCCTGAGACATGAGACCCTGTCAATGAATGAATGAATAATAAAAGCAGTGAGTTTACAACTGTATGCAAAAACCTTCCATCGTGGCCACATAAAATTCTTGTTATTTTATATGTGTGGGTGTTTTGCCTACATGTATGTCTGTGTATCACATGTATGCCTGGTACCCTTGGAGGCAAGAGAGGGCATAGGATCCTCTGGAACTAATACTACAGAGGGTTGAAAGGAATCGAACCCAGGCCCTCTGGAAAAGCAACCCATGCTCTCAACCACTGAACCATCTCTCCAGTCCCAGACACATGATTTTAAGTAAAGGAGCTCTCAAGCACACAAACTCCATTGTCCTGCAATGAGCTGAGTTTGCAGTCTGGGTTCAAGGCTGCTGGCACTTACAGCCTAGGAAATGCTCAAGGACCACAAAGGCCAGGAAATCACTTCTGAGTCAAAGAGCCATTCCTGCCTCCTTCCAGGCCCTAATGTATCACGTTGCTTTCCCATCATTCCTGTTCCAACTGAAAGATTTGAATTCAAATAACTCAGAAGTTATTTGGATTCCATTCAAATGTAAGCCGTCTCATCTCTTTAGTCATTATGCCCATTATTTCTGATGTAAAGACTAATACGGGATGGTAAAAGTCTCTGTGGAATGTTTTCATTGAAGATGTTTCTTCTGTGTATGGCTAGACACTGACGCTTCTGTCCACAGGAGGGAGAGGCTCATCCAGTGACAACCAAGCCAACCATTTGCAAAAGGAAGGTTGTAGATGCCATCATACAAGTGGAGGCCTTTGGTCTGGACATTTGTTAAGGTCCCACCTTGGGCTGGGGAAGTTGTGTATGCTAGGCCAGTGCTCTATCTACTCCCTGAATGCCATCCCCAGCCCTGACTGTACATGTTCATGGCCTCCTAAATCCTGTACCGGTGGAGAAGATATTCTAATGCTCTAGGATAGGAAATCTCAACAGTGCAGGAGGTCACACTTCCAGGGGATTTGGAAAAGGCATGGAGGCTCTTTGTAGATGTTGCAACTGAGGGACAAGGCAACTCTAATCACAGATGCTGATCATATCACCTTCATAGAATAGCCGGCCATCAGGTGAACTGGCCAGCCCAAAGGTCAGCAGCTCAGGGCTGAACAGTCTTACCCCAAGATGTCTAGGGCACCCAAAGAGCTCCCCAGTGAAGCTTCTTTGGAGGAAGCATTGTCCCCAGAAAAGCTGAAAAAATAGTGGCTCAACCCCCACCCCGTGATTCCCAGACTTTCTCCTTCTGTTCAGCTATGATTGAGAGGTGGCAGCCATTGCTCCCCTGAGTATGTGGGACTCACTATTGACATCTCCAGTACTTGGGAGCTGGTTAGAAATACAGTCCCAGGCTCCCCCCCAGACATGCTGAATCCGAACTTGAATTTGAATGTGAGCCCCACAGGATCCATGCACACATTCTACACATGGTATGAGAAAGTACTGGTCCCATCTGACATGAAACTGAAGTTTTAAGTGACAATTTTGATAAATGCTAACATGGATTCCAGTCCTAGGGTTCAGGGAAGGCTTCCATGAAAAATCAGCTTGAAAACTGAGCTCTTGGTGAATTACAGAAAGTAGCCAGAGGATCCCTCCAGAGGGAACAGAATAAACAAAGGCTCAGAGGCAGGCTGGGGTAGGGGTGGAGGGTGATAACCGAAGGGGGCTTGCTGGGCAAGTATAAGGACCGGACTTCAATACCCAGAATCCATGTAAAAAGTCAAGAATGGTAGGCACCTTTGTAATCACAGTACTCAGGAGGTAAAATCAGGCAGATTCCTGGGACTTGCTGGCTGGACAGTCTGGCCTTCTAGGTGAATTCAAGGCTAGTGAGAGGCCTGATCTCAAAACTCAAGGTAGATGACACCTGAGGAATGACATGTGAAGTGTATACACACACACACACACACACACACACAACACAGAACATATGCAGAGACACACAAAGATACACACAGACACGCACAGAGCTACACACACACAGTACAAACAGAGAGATATAGATACACATACACAAACACATAGAGATACATACACAGATACACACAGAACACATACATGCACACACAGAGAGAAACATACACAGCTGCATAGAGAGGTACACATACAGATATACACACAGATATCCTCTGTCTCTTACACACACACACACACACACACACACACACACACACACACACACACCAAACCCATACTCACAGACTCAGGCTCAAGTTCTGAGGTAGGAGGGAACTGCCCAATTGGAGAAGCCATTGGAGAAGTTTAGCCCTATGAGTAAGAAATAACTGGAGGTGAGAATGACCAGAAGGTCCCTTTGGGACAGCACTCTGGTGCCAGCTAGAATGTTACAGTTGGAGTTGAGCCTTATGCCCCCCCACCAGACAAGGCAAGGTGGCATCCCTTAGCAATTTAATGTCATGATCCAAACAAGTCAGGTGCTGGTCTGATGGGATCACACTCCCAGGAATGGTAATTGTCCCAGGTGACCCTAGGAGCCATGCCAGAAGGGACAGTCCATAACTCCACCCCACCCCTTTAACTTTAGGGACACAGAGTCATTTATGTCAATATATTTTTGTACAAATTTTGTAGTTTGTGGCACGTCCTGGCAACGTTAAGACTCAATTACAAAGAGCCAGAGTGGAACTGTAAACCTAAAGTTGGAAAAGCTGTTAGATTCTGGCAACAGACCGGCTCCAACTTCGCTGTTCCTGGCCTCAAAACACTGACAACAAAAATCCATTTTTAATGAGTCTTTTTTTTTTTTTAAACTAGAAACTTCACACCCTGTTTTTGGTCCCCTTTGGGCCAGCAGACTCCAGTCTTCCTTACAAGCAAGAATTGCCCCTAAACTGATTACCAGGGTACAGAGGCTCCTGCCGGCTGCCTGGTCATAGCAGCTCAACCAGCTGATGACTGGGCATTGAGTCACTTTGTTCCCGTTGTCCTTCAGCACGTGGCTGGCCTGCAGGGCCAAGCAGGCATGCAGGAGAAGTCATTTTTATCATGCAGGCAGTGACTGCCTGGCTGTCTGTGTCTCCGTCTCCCGAACAGATTACTAATCTCACAGACCGTCTATTATCCACTCGGCAACTGGCAAACGTGAACTTGGCCAACATCGAGGCAGAACACTGAGATCCAAGTTAGAAGAAGTGGGAGAAAGAGAGAAAATGCAGAGACGAGCCAGACAATTTCCCAACCTGTAAAAACATGTTGTATTTACCAGGTCTGGTACGGAAGCCAAACTCGGGGCTCGGTGTTTGTCTTGGGCCCCGGGCCTGGGTTATGTCTGGTGCTCTCAGAACGCTGCCCCCCACCTCCCACTCCTCACTCCCATCTGATGATTGGCATATTGTTTAGAGACGGAGAGGGACGCTCTTGCGCTCCGGAGGAAGCTGGCAAGAAAGTTCGATTCTATAAAAAGAAACGCGCGGTCAGGGTTCGGTTTCCTATTCTGACTCAAGGCAAAGAAGAGATTCAGAAATTCCAACCCAGAGGGTGAGGATGGGCTGCAGGGCCTGTTCCCTCAGCTCCTGCCGCCTCCCTGTTCCTGCAACTGGCCAGCTGGGATTACACAACTCACACTAGTTTTATTCCCCATGCGGCTGTTTCTCATTAGGAGCCAGGATCTTATGTCTTCCCTCCTGGTGCCATGCCACCCCCTTGGACCCAGGTGAGTAATTCTACTTCAGAACAGGAAGATTCTGTTCACACTCCTGGCTGCATTCACATGACCTCCATGTTTGGTTCTTGGTGCCAAGGTCCGACTTTCTCCTCAGAATTCCTAACATCACCAGTCTCATGGGTTCTATTCCACCAGGGAGGAGAGGAAAGAGTCAACCCGTACAATGTGCTCTGGCTACCCAGTACCTGACAACTGCTTCTGGAGGGTTCTGTCATCTCCCCCTCCCCCCCGTTTTTTGTTTTTAAACTTATTTATTTTTTTATCTTTAAAGCTGAACTCACCAGATGTTCTGAGAGAGTTTAAAGCCTGGCTTTCCTGTCTTCCACATGCGTTAAGTTGGATCCAAATCACAGCACGTCCTCCTCAGTGGTTCTGGAGAAGGACATGAAGGCGGAGTCAGGCTTTCCTCTAGGCATCAGAAACCATCGGGCCCAGGCGTTGGCATTCGGGGCCTTGGGATGTTTCTGGACCAAACTCACATTCACAAATGGTAATGTGTCTTCCTAATGTTACTCTTGCTCATTTCCTTGTATTTTCCTGGCTGTGTACCAGAATCGACAGAGCTATAAACCCCCCAAAGTCTCTGGGTAGATGGAAATAAATACAAGGATGGCTCACGTGCAATTTTGCAGAAACGGGAGGGCTGGGGGTGGGGTTCAGTGCGGAGGGCTCCCTTGGTTATGCGCAAAGCCCCTCGACTTTGATCCCCAACACCACCAAACCCAACAAAAACAAAGAAAACACCTCAGCCACACCTGGAGAGAGCTGGTAAGCAATCGCTCTCCTGTTTGGGTGACTGGAAGCACCCCTGTGTCTAAGGGAGGTGGAACTCCCCCATTCCTCCACAGCTCCCTCCGCCTGGTGCCCTGCATTGCATAGAAAAGCCTGAGCACACCATGCCACCTTGCTGGGCCTCGCCAAAATCCAAGAATGGCGCAGAGTGCACATTAACCAGATGGAATGCAACATGCATGTAAAGAAATAAGAGCCGTGCCAGGAAAGTTGGCAGAGTCTCTGGAATGCTTTAAACAGTGTGTGTGTGGGTAGAAAGAGTGAGCCCCGAGTCGGCCAGGCGGCCTCCTTCCTAAGAGCTGTTTCCTTTACAGCCATAGCCTGTTTTACCAGTCAAAATAAATACAGTGTTAAATGCCCCCCTTTTACGGGCTCCTGGTACAGAGCAGTTTGGCCAGGCAGTTTGAAATATGACCTGGGCTCATTGGAGGGAAAAAGTCCTTTTAACTGAGTGGAAGGGATGTATGTGCCACTTCTCTGGGGATTGGGAGGAGAGTAGGGAGGGTCATGGAGTCAATATTCTGAGTGAAGACATACAGGAAAAAGAAGGAACGGCCATGGGGTCCTTACTGCTAGTTTGAAAATCAGTGTTTCTGGTTTCTTTTTTTTTAAATAATTTATTTATTCTTATTTTGTATATGCATTGTGTTTTGTCTACATGTGTGTCTCTGTGAGAGTGTCAGATCTTAGAGTTATAGACAGTTGTTAGCTGTCATGTGGGAATAGAACTGGGGTCCTCTGAAAGAGCAGTCACTGCCCTTAACCACTGAGCCATCTCTCCAACCCCTCTCGCTGGTTTCATACAGGTTCAGTGTAATGCTTGCAAGCCTGGCTGGGGCTGACTTTGAAGGTTTCCTGTCCTTCATGGCTTCTCAAGGAACAATGGGACAGGTTTTCAGGGGAGCTGGTTGTTTCTGAAGGCATCTAAGGAGAAGAAGCCAGGCCTTTTCTTTATCTGTTATTGTTTGTGCGTACTGTGTACATGTTTTTGTGCATGCATGTTTTTGGGGTTTTTTTGGGGGAAGGGGGTTTCGAGACAGAGTTTCTCTGTGGCTTTGGAGGCTGTCCTGGAACTAGCTCTTGTCGACCAGGCTGGTCTCAAACTCAGAGATCCACCTGCCTCTGCCTCCTGAGTGCTGGGAATAAGACGTGCACCACCACTGCCTGGCATGCATGTTTTTGTATGTATGTGATAACACAGAGTCTCACTGTATAGACCAGGCTGGCTTCCATCCACCTCCCTCTCTCTGGCTCCTGAGTGCCCAGATCAAAGGCATATGTACCACACTCAGCTCTGCCTTAGTTTTTGAGGCAGCCTCTCTTGCTGAGCCTGGAGCTCACTGATCACACTAGACTTGGATGACCACAAAGCTCCAGGGATCATTCTGTCTCTGCCTTCCCAGTGCTGGGATTACAGCATGCATTGCCATGCCCAGTTTTAGTTCATGGGAGTTGGGGATTGAACTCTGGTTCTCTTGTTTGTGGGGCAAGAGCTTTATCCACTGAGCCACCTAACCACCCTCTGAGCCTTTGCTTTATTGAGAAAAGCTCAGAGCTAAAGACACAGCTACAGTTCAACCCACTCAGGCCATTTAGCTTTTCAGATCCCCATAAACACCCCTAACCACAGCAGCAGCTTGCCACCGGCAGGCAGGAGGGACTAGACAGAATCTTGAGCAATTCTGCATTCCAGGGATGGCAGATGGTCTCTGAAGCATCTCAAGATCTCCCAAGGGAGGTCTGGGAGGTCCTGGGCTGTCTCTGTTCTAACACATGAAGCACATGAAGCAACAGAGGCTCAGAGAGGTTGAGTCATTTACCCAGGCTCTCCCAGCTTTGGGAATGGATGGCCTTGGTTGTCTAACCCAAACAGCAAATGTTGAAGAACCACCTCCACCCTCAGAACTCCCCTGGCTCAGGAGCAGGTTGTTACATTCCCCATTGGGTAGGTCATGGGGTGAATTATCCTCCTGGGCGGCAGTAAACAAACCATTACCGGTGCCCTAGGTACTCCCCCCAACACACACGCCATTATGGAGGGCAGAAGGCTGAAACCAAGGTGTCAGCAGCGCATACTCTCTAGTACCTGCTAGGAAACAGAGATAAGGCAAGGAAGAGCATTATTGATTCATTCACTGATTCATTCATCTCCCCAGGGCTCCAGGGACGCCTCTGCCTTACACTAAGGGCTTCTTTTCTCCTTGACTGTGGCTGCAGGGTTCCAACCTTCACCTCTGTCTTCACGTCTCTTTCTCTTCTGTGTCTTTTGTCCTTCTGGTCTCTGACAAGGACACGTGTCATTGGATTAAGAAGCCGCACTAATCAATGATCGCATCCCAAGATCTTTAACTTAATTATACCTGCAAAAAAACCCTTTCCCCAATTAGGCTTTAATGCTTCAGGGCTGGATGTAGCTCAGTGTGCACCAGGTCGGGTGATTTGAGTTTGATGCCTACATCCCATGTGGTGGAGGGAGAGAAGTGATTGACCCCCTCCCCAAAACACACACATACACACACACACACACACACACACACACACACACACACACACACACACACACGAAGTGATTGACCCCCTCTTCAAAACACACACACACACACACACACACACACACACACACACACACGAAGTGATTGACCCCCTCTCCAAAACACACACACACACACACACACACACACACACACGAAGTAATTGACCCCCTCTCCAAAACACACACACACACACACACACACACACACGTTGACCTCTGACCTCCACATGTACAACATGGCATGCATACACCCACTCACATGCACACATGCGCACCAAATAAATAAATGAAAATGTAAAGATTGCATGCCCAAATTTGAGGGGGTATTTTTTTTTTGACAGCTGTTTTTCAGCCTGTGTCACCAGGAGACATCAGTGACGGAAGGATGTGTCCAATGAGGGTCTTTCTGATCTACAACAATAACTTTCCTCCCTTGGCTTGTTTTGTTGTTGCTGCTGTTAGTTACAGGGGAGGGGAACATGGAAAGCTTCTTTGTCCTTCAAAAACCCAGTGAGCAACACCTGGGCATGGAGCTCCACACCTGGACTCCGAGCACTTGGGAGGTGGAGGCTGCAGAATCAGAAGTTTGATGGGGAGGAAAGGGTACATCTCTAACTCGCATTCCTATCCTCACTCCCACCCCTGGGGCAGCACCCTGCCTCTGGAATGAGTCTCAAAGACGGCAGGTAAATTCTAAGGATGTGAAATTATCTCTGGCCATTGACTCTGGAGTTTGAAGACCTGTCCTGCAATGATACTGTTGGTAACTATTGCCCAAATCCAGGGAATTTAGAAAAAAAAACAAAACAAAAACAAAGTCCTAACAGATTTTGCTTTCTAGACATATAAGAAAGCAGCGTTTATAGGGACCTGGGAGCCTGGGCCTTGTCATCTGTATCTGGGGCTAAGTGCGGTTATTTTTGTGTTGCAGATTCCCAGAGTTCTGGCTGGGTTAGAAGATCTCATCTTCATTCCCTTAGGTGGCCCCTTTCCAACTCTGCAAACCCCATGAGAACCTTGATAGCTTCGCCTTGTTCCTTTCCTTTTTTGTTTCTGATCAGCCCCTGCAGGGGAACTGGTTCTAGCTCGCTTGGTGATGGTCAAAACCACAGCTGCTATTATTTCGTGCCGTCAAGATTCAGGCTCCATGCTGGCAATGCCACCTGAGGTATCTCACTGAACTTTCCCCAAGAGGCACCCATGTGGGCTCTACCTTCAGAATGAGCTCAGAATGGGGTCCCTTTCCATCACCTCCATGCTACCTCCCTGGACCAGGCTCCCATCCCCCTCCCCCCATTACTGTGGTCCTTCCCTACTGAATAGCACATGTTTCCCTGTCTAGGTCTATTTTCAACTCAGCAGACTGAGTGGTGCCTTTGATGTGAAAGTCAGGAGAGGACACAAACCTCCATGGGTTCCCATATTGTGGAAAGTCAAATCCAAATCCCATTCTTCTTTTCCCACTCACATTGTGATCCAGGTTCTTCGTGCTCCTTGGTTTCTGAACATGCAGCATTCCTGTCTGGGCCTTTACACGTCCTGTTCCTACTCTCCTTGGAAGTACATGTGATTTATTCCTCTCTTCAAGACTTTTCAAATTCAGCTCCTGGGTCTGAGCTGACACACTTTAAAATGCAAGCTTTCCTTTGGTGTCTCTGTTATATACCTGTGTCATCTAGGAGTGGAGACTCAAGCCTGTAATGCCAGCACTGGGAAGCCTCAGGCCAGCCGTGCAGTCTCAAAACAATTAAGTTCCAGGTCATCCAAAGCTACAAAATGACACCCTGTTCAAACAAAACACAATAGACAAGAACGAAGCAGCTCTGAGCTATTCTTTTAGTTATTTGTTACGTTTATTATTCATCTCACCTCAAAAAAAAAACAGGGTCTTCTGAGCTCAAACTGAAAGCAATTTAGCATGACACACTTGAATAGTGTTTATTAGATGGATGGATGAATGGATGGACTGATGGATGAGTAGGCTGAAGAATGGATGGGTGGATGGATGAACTGACTGAGGGAGGGAGGGAGGAGCAGGTGGATGGATGGAAAGATGGATAAATGGACTGACTGACAGATGCATGTGTGTCTTATGAAATGTGTCCTATAATCAGTCCTATATAATACAGGAGGAAACTCAGAAGGGCTGGGTAGACTTTTCAAGGTAAGTTAGTTTCAGTTAGTGGCAAAGTTGAAACTTCAACTCAGGTTTCCCAGACCCCAAACAATTTAACTACTAAGTTTACTGATAATGAGTTAAGCCCACTATAGAATACTCTGGTCCTCGCAATCTACGTCTCAGCCCAATCCCATTGCAGGATGAAGCGGCTGCTCTGCACTTGGCCCTTCAGGATTAGTGCCTATTGTCCAGGATTAGTCAGAATGGGCAGCTCCTGTGAGTGCAGAGATGGGGAGACCTACATGAGAAATCCGGCATTAATCACCCAATTGATAGGTTTTTTTTGTTGTTGTTGTTGTTTTTCGAGACAGGGTTTCTCTGTGGCTTTGGAGGCTGTCCTGGAACTAGCTCTTGTAGACCAGGCTGGCCTCGAACTCACAGAGATCCGCCTGCCTCTGCCTCCCGAGTGCTGGGATTAAAGGCGTGCGCCACCAACGCCCGGCCAATTGATAGGTTTTGAGCACAGTTTTGCAAGTGTTCATGTCTTAGAAATTTTTTTTTTTTTGGTTTTTCAAGACAGGGTTTCTCTGTGGCTTTGGAGGCTGTCCTGGAACTCACTTTGTAGACCACGCTGGCCTCAAACTCACAGAGATCCACCTGCCTCTGCCTCCCGAGTGCTGGGATTAAAGGAGTGCGCCACCAACGCCCGGCTTTAGAAATATTTTAAAAGAGTGACTCTTAACAGATAATTTTTAAAAACACTGGTAAGAAAAATTGCATAGTAATTCAACTCTGTATGTGAACTGCCTCCACTTGAGGGGCAAACACCGAGGCAGGTTTTCTCTCGCTCACGGGAGAGCTGGAAGTTCAACCTTCTAGGATTTAAAACAACAAGTCTCAGCTGAGTGTGGTGGCATATGCCTGCTGTACCAGCACTGGGGACGGGGAATGAGACAGGAGGATTTCAAGTTCAAGGCCAGCATGGGATATATAATGAGTTTGGGGCAATTTCTAATGCTGTATTGTAAGACCCTATCTCAAAGCAATTATCAACAAACTAAACCTGTAATTTCTGTATAGCCCTAATGTTCCAGTCTTACATATTTATCTACTCCCAAAGAATGTGGGTATGTTCAGGCATTGGTGGCACACGCCTTTAATCCTAGCACTCGGAAGGCAGAGACAGGCAGATCTCTGTGAGTTCGAGGCCATCCTGGTCTACAGAGCAAGTTCCAGGAAAGCCTCCAAAACAATACAGAGAAACCCTGTCTCAAAAAACAAAAAAACAAAAGGAATGGGGGTATGTGTGTGGAATTATGAGAAATGCTCATAGCAGCATCGTTCATAATATCTGAAGGATATTCAGCATTATTCATAATACTTAAAAATGGCCATTGCCCAATGAATAAACAAACTGTGGCATATCCTTACAATGGAATAGTATTCATACATAAAAAGGGATGAAGTACTGATACATATTCCAACATGAATGAGTCTTGAACATAGTATGCTCAATGAAAGTTGCAGAACACAAAAGGTCTCATATACGACTCCATGTGTGCATGCATGAAATTTCCATGATTGGGTGCAAGCCTTTAATCCCAGTACTCTGGAGGCAGAGGTAGGCAGATCTCTGTGAGTTAGAAGCCAGCCCAGTCTACAAAGTGAGTTCCAGGACAGGTTCCAAAGCTACACAGAGAAACAAAACAAAAACAACAACAAAAAAGACTGGAGAATCTAAGCCCCTTCTTACTCCTTCCTGTGACTCTCTATCATATCCTAGGTCCTACAAAACCTCTATGGCTAATTTTCTGTCAGCTGGTCGCTGGCCGCTGGCTCCAGATTCAAGGTTAACTTAATATATTAACAGTCTCTGAGTGTCACAGCTCGATCAAATATTTTGCAATATCCATGGAAATAGAAAGCAGATGTGTAATTTCCAGACGATAGGAGAGGAGGGATTACGGAGTGACTATGCAATAGATATGAGCCTTCCCATCTTGGGTAAGGATAATGTTTGGGAACTGGACACTGCCTATGAATACTTGACCTTGTGGATAGCATTCAACACCACTGGGCCACATACACCTTAAAATGGTGCATCGTTATTTTCGTGAATTTATTAGTGTGTGTGTGTGTGTGTGTGTGTGTGTGCCACGACAAGTGTGCGGAGGTCAGAAGAGAGCTTTCCGGAAGCCTCTTCTCTGCTTCCACCTGGGGTCTTACATTATACTCACATAGTGAGTTTGCATGGTGAATACCTTTACCTGATGAGTTACTTTGCTGATCCTGTTTGATGGGTTTTATTTTAAAATTTGTTTAAAGTGAATATTTAAAGTCAGCTGTGGGGGAGCACTCCTTTAATCCCAGTACTTGGGAGGCAGAGGTGGGCAGATCTCTATAAGTTTGAGGACAGCCTATTTTACACAGCGAGTTCCAGACCAGCCAGGGCTACATAATGAGACCCTATCTCAAAAACAAAACAAAAAAGTGAGCATTCAAAATCGGGCCTCAGTATCTGGATGGTTGAGTTTGCCTCTGATTTGATGGACAGCTTAGCAGAGGGTTATGTACCCTGCAGGGCGGGGTAGGCGGGCACTGCCTAGGAAGAGATCCCTACTCCCGTCTGTGGCTTATTGGCCTCTGTGGAATTGAGGCTCATCCTTGATAGCCTCAAAAACCGCATGGGGCCTGTTGAGGTGGATCAGTGGATAAAAACAGTAGCCTCATTCCTAGCCATGGTGGCACAGGCCTTTACTCCCAACACTCAGGAGGCAGAGGCAAGTAGGAGGACCTCTGAGTGCTAGCCTAGTAGTCTACAGAGCGAGTTCCAGGACAGCCAGGGCTACACAGAGAAACCCTGTCTTGAAAAACCAGGAAAACAAAGCAAAATGACAAAAACCCAACAACCAAAGTTCAATGCCTAGAACTCACAGTAGAAGGAGACAACCAACCCCTGAAAGAAAATGTTCTCGGACCTCTACATATTGACCATGGCACACATGCGCTTGCACACGTGTGAACACACACACACAAACATACACACCACTCTAATGATAAATAAAATTTTAAAGTCTTAAATTTTTAAAAGGATCTTAGAAGATGACCCAGTTGGTACAGTTCTAGTTCAGAGTTCATGCCTTCGAAAAGCCAGGTGTGGCACCATCTGTGACCCCAGCTTCTGGGAGGCAGAGGCAGCAGATTTCCCAGTTCTATCAGGGCGAGCTTTCCAGTCCAACGGTGCTCACAACGGAGAGCCCTTTTCAAGGGTTAGATTACCACCTGCTCACACAGCCCCTTCGGGTCAGATCCCCATCGGCTTCCAACTTCTCAACTTTGTAAACCAGGCTTCCGGGAAAGAAACACTGTTCACACAGTCTCCCATCCTCACGGGAATTTTTCTGTGGGAGATTCCAAGAAGTGAAATTGCTGGGTTCAAATCAAATCCTTTCTGTTCTGGGACATTTTCATAGCACATCACTATGGGATACAAATGTATATTGTCTCTGGCCCTAGGACCAAAAAAAAAAAAGAAAGCCAGAACTGAGATCTTTCCATGGGTCTTTGATTAGCTCTGCCCATCCCACCCAACCCTGCTCATCATGACTCCAACTGTTTTCATTCGCTTCATAGGTTTGCTGTCTCCAGATCCACTCCAGCAGAGGGAAAAGACATCAGCCCCTCCTGTGTCATTCTTCAAACATTTAGGGGAAATTGATTTTCCACATGGGCTATGGCCAAGCGAGGGATGTGCCGGCCCAGAGTTCCCAAGAAGGGCTGTTACCACAAGCACTTGCTGTAACCAAGACTGAGCCCAACTCGAGGTATGTCATTAGTGGGTCTGATTCCTTGTCTGCCCAAAATTGCTGATGGCCAGGAGTAGTAGTGACTTTAAAGTAGGATTTCCTTCCTAATCTTTTTTTTTTTTTTTTTGAGACAGGATTTCTCTCTGTAGCCCAGGCTGTCCTGGAACTCACTTTGTAGACCAGGCTGGCCTTGAACTCACAGAGATCCACCTGTCTCTACCTCCCGAGTGTTGGGATTAAAGGCATGCACCACTACTGCCTGGCTTTAGTCTTTTAAAAAGCAAAGACCTGCTGGAGCCTTGAAGTGCCTGGAGAGGGGAAGATTCTATTTTCTAAGGAAAGGAGGCAGACAGGGCCTGCCTGACCTTACTGCTCACACTGTTCTCCTTTGCCTGCTGTGCTGGGGATTGAACTCCCATGCACGGCACAGCTATGTCTGCCACCCTCTGCTCTGACCCTGTTACGTGTGCTTCTCCTAGCACCCTCTGGAACATTGATGAGGACAGACGGAAATGCCAAATGCGCCTCAGGTTTGCATGGCTGGAGGTGAGGCAAGTTTAGCGCTGGGCGGCTCAAGACTGGGAGATGGCCCTGAGAGCTGAGGGTCTGTCCCAAAGAGGCTGCATTAGTTCTAGAGCCACACCATTTGAGACTGAATCTCAAGCTACCTATTGTTAGTTGAGTAACTGAATAAATTACTTCCCCTCTCTGTGCCTCTGTGTCTTCATATCTCAGCCCAGAAAGCTGATGATCACACACAAGTTCAAGGCCTGCCTGGGTGACTAGGTGAGACCCTATTCCAAAGTTGAAAGTAGAAGGAGGCATTTAACAGCCATGCACAAACTCCCGGGTCCCAACACCCAGGACCAAACCCACAAGCAAGGTGAAGGGGCCAGTAAGATGACTCAGTGGGGAGAGTACTAGCCACACGTGCCCGAGGACCTGAGTTCAGATCCCCATCACCCAGAATAACCTGGGGATGGTGGCACACATCTGTGATTCCATAGCTAGGAAGAGGAGACAGGAGTGTTCAAGGGACTTTTATCCCTGGTGCTAGTTTAGCTTCAAGCTCAGTGAAAGTCCCAGTCTCAGTGAGGAGGACGATGATGATGACGACGATGATGATGATGATGAATAAAGCAAAGATGAGCAGTTTTCCCAGATTAAGGGCTAGAGAGAAAACATTTTCAGCTTTATAACCCATATATTCTCTAGCCCGCTATTTTGTAAAGATTTATGGGATTGGAGAGATAGCTCATTAGTTAAAAGCGCTGACTGCTTTTGCAGAGGATCCAGGTTCAGTTTCCCAGCACCCCACATGACAGTTCACAACCATCTGAACCTCCAGTTCCAGGGGATCCGACACCCTCACAATGCACAGTGTTTGTGTGGGGGCCTGAGTGTGCCATGTATGTGCCAAGTACATGCAGAGACTAGAAGATGGTTTGGGACCCCCTGCATGGAACTGCGGTTACAGGTGGTTGTGAGCCGCCTGATGTGAGTTTTAGGAACAGAGACCAGGTCCTCTGCAAGAGCAACAAGTGCTCCTAACCATGGAGCCATCTCTCAAGTCCTCCAGAACGCTGCTTAATTCTGCTGTGACAGCATGAATCCTGCTTACCAGTTTGGCTTTTTTTATTAACTTCTGTTCATTTATTTATTTTTGAGACAGGGCTTTGTTATGTAGCCCAGACTGGCCCGGAACTCATTATGCCTGTCTCAGCCTCCACAGTGCTGGGATTACAAGTATGCGCTCCTATTTCTTGTTTCTCCTTGGACTTGGGACATTTGACTTCACCACGGGGTGAGGGTGTATCCAAACCCCACAACAGCTCTGCTTTTCACTTTGGAAGACACAGGTAACTTCTTTCCAGAATGGACTTTGTGTGGCATGACTCAGCCCAGCTGTAGTCTAAGACAAGCCCTTCAAGTGTGTTTAAAGTTGGACAGGAGACTGGAGACATGGCTGTGTGGTTTAGAGAAAGTACTGCTTGCTCTTGCAGAAGACCCACGCTCAGTTCCCAGCACCCACCCCGGAGGGCTCACAAGTGCCTCTAACTCCAGCTCCAGGGAACCTCTCACCTCTGGCTCCAAGGGCACGGCACTAATGTGTACATACTCACACATAGAGAAAGGTAATTAAAAATAACAAATCTTTAAGGTGGGCTTGGTGGAATCTCTAATCCCAGAATTGAGAGGCAAAGGCAGGTGGATCTCTGTGAGTTCAAGGACAGCCTGGTCTACATAGCAAGTTCTAGGCCATCCTGGGCTATATATAGAGACCCAGTCACAATAAATGAACAAACAAATAATTTTAAATTCAGATCAGTTAAGCTATAGGTAGTTTAATGGTATTGCATGTGCTTTTCTCTTACAGATGCCATCAATTTCCCATGAGTTTATCTGGATATGACCCTTTCCTATATTGAGAAACATCTGGAACCCATTAAAAATGATCCTGGTGAGTTCTTTCATTTGTTTGTGAAAAGCTCTCATGTAGCCCAGGCTGTCTCCAGTGCTGATTCGTGGGATTACAGAATTGTCTCACTACACCTTGTTTTCATGCAGTACTGAAATTTTGAACTCAAATTTTTGCATGCGCTTGGCAAGGATTCTACCAACAGAGCTGCATCCCCGGCCGTGCCTGGCGAGTTCTAAGGCAGAGTTTAGCTGGTGTCGATGCTATTGGCTACACTCATGCCTCTCTCTGCACTTGGCTGCCCACCTTGGCTTCACCTCACAGCAGCAAGATGGACGGAGCACCCGGAGATGCTTTGTGGCATGCCACAGGTCTTTCCCAGGCTCACCAGATTCCACCTGTCTCATTGGTGACTATGGTCACATGCCCTCTGAATCACCTGCTGGTCAAGAGCGGGGGGGGCTGACCAATGAGAAACATTTCTAGAGGTGAGTGGCTGCCGGCCTGAGTCACACCAGAGGAGCGTGGCCGCTTCACCATTCAGAGAGGGTGGAGGAGGCTGGGTAGAGATGCTGGGCAGACCCTCGGGATCTTTTCCTGAGCAGAGGGCCCTCTGATCCAGTTTGTGTGTGTCACCTTGTAGGAAGAGGCAGCCTTGTGAAGACAGGCGCTCCGCTGACCTTCGCTGTGAACACACAGATGGTAAGAGCCCAGCAGGAAACAACTTTATATGACCTCTGAGTCCACTTCACACCCTCCTGTCCCATCTCACCAGTCTTCCCAGGTCCCAGAAACAGGACAGGCAAGAAGTAGTTAGTCCAAGGACAATGGTTAAGCCCTAGATTTTATCGCCTTCCTTTCCATTCCACCCCACAAAAGGATCCCCCATATCCCAAGTTGCCCTTCAATTTGCTATATAGCTCAGGTTGACCTTGAACTTCTGATCTTGCTGCCTCCACCTCCCAGGCGTGTAACACCATGCCTGTTTTATGCCATGCCAGGGCCGGAACCCAGGACATCATGAATGCTAGGCAAGCACTCAACCAACTACATTCTTCAGCCCAAAGCCCTGGATTTCTGGTCTCTACTCTGGGTTCTCTTTTCCCAGGCCTCCTGGCTATCTGATGAAGTGACAAGGTCAGCATTGTCATAGGAATCAGTGGCTGAGAAGGCACAGGTGACAAGGGAAGAGACTTTGCTAAGTAAGAGCAGACACAGCCTTAAAACCATGCTTATGGTGGCGACCTCTAGGCACAGTTTCTGGTTCCTGGGGGTATCACAATTTCCACATTCAGCCATGTGCTGCGGATGATCCAAGGAGGACAGATGGCAGGCGGCACATCCTGTCTTGCCTAGCTGTGTTGCAGGTTTGTGGAAGTGGTTCTGTGCCATTCACTCCGTGACAGCATCAGACAGCCATGCATTTCCCAGAGAGTGTCCCGTCATCAGTGATGCACGACTCTGCTGTGAACTCTCCGGAAATGATGGGATGATGGCAATAATTCCTGTGATGAAGCACAGGTGTGCCCTTTTGAGTTTCCGAGGAGAGCAGTTTCCTGGAATGTCTTTCTGTTGAAGCTGTCGGAGGGCGCCTCCTTGCATTTCACCCTGGCCTGACTGACTTGCAAAAGGAGAAGATTCTCCGCAGGAGAAAGCTGGACTGAAGGGGCCGTGAAGTCACTGCTTTTCTCGTTGCGGTGACCTGACAAAAGCAACCTAAAGAAGGGAGAATCTATTTTAGCTAACAGTTTGAGGGCACAGTCCATCGTGATGGAGAAGGCATGGCGGCGGGAGTGTGAGGCAGCTGGTCACATGACCTCTGCTGACAGGAAGCAGAGAGAGAGAGGGAGAGAGAGAGAGAGAGAGAGAGAGAGAGAGAGAGAGAGAGAGAGAGAGAGAGAGAGAGAGAGAGAGAGAGAGAGAGGACCACAGCTCACTTTCTCCTTTTTGTTCAGTCCAGGATCCCAGCCCATGGATGCTGTCCACATTCAGGGTAAGTCTTCCCTAGTCTGTTGAGCCTTTCTGGAAACATCCATGTGGACACAGTCAGTGTTTCCATAGTGATGCTAAATCCAGTAAAGCTGACGATGAAGATGACCCTCCACAGTGCACAAGCTAAGGATCATCAACCCTAGCTTCTATGCCTATGGACAGTGCTTGATGCTTGCATATGAGAACATATTGATACAATGTTGGAAGGGTACAAGGAAGATGATTACACCTGAAATCCTCTCCAAAATTGTTTCAAGGGCCACAGCAAAACAAATTAACAGTAAATAAGCTAAAATGCTGCCCAGTCGGTGGTGGTGCAAGCCTTTAATCCCAGCACTCCGGAGGAAGAAGCAGGTGGATCTTTCTGAGTTTGAGGCCAGCCTGGTCTGCAGAGCGAGTTCCAGGAAATCCAGGGCTCCATGACAAGGCTCCATCTCAACAAAGCAAAAACAAAACTGCTGTGAGATGAGGATCAGACCCCCTGACATTAGACACTCTAGTGAAAGGGGTCAGGAAGGTAAAGCACGAGGTTTGCAAGGTCAAAGGATGGAAACCACATTAGACGTTGTATTATTTATTTATTTGTGTGTGTGTGCGTGTGCTTGTGTGTGCCTCAAAACATCTGTAGAAGTTTATACAGTCAGTTCCCTCTTTGCACTATGTGGAGCACAGGGACTGAAGTCAGTTTAGCATTCCGGCCAGCAGGCACCCTCACCCACAGAGCCATCTTGCCAGGCCCTGAAACCCCTGTGCTCCAGGCAGGATACATCTCCAGGTGGTGGCACAGCCTTCTCAGAGCCGCCTAAAAAGGAGCAAATACACAGAATCCTTCTGCTGTGTCTGGGAAACTGAAATTCTTCCAATTAGGCAATGAATCTTTGTAGAGACTACTGCCCGGGGTGGGGGAGGGGGAGGTGAGGCAGGGAGGTGCCCAGCTGGTAGAGTGCTTACCCAGCATGCATTGGCCCTGGGCTTGATCTCAGTACCACATATACCCAATGTGGCGATTTGCATCTGTAACCCTAGCATTCGGGAGCTGGAGGATTGGGAGGTTAAAACTAGCCTGGGCTACATGAGACCCTGTTGCAACCCTACCCTACAACCACCAAAAGAAGAAAAAAGTACAAGAACCACGTTCACTCAGGGTTTTGCTTAGTAGAAGATTCGTATGGGAAGCGGGATTGCTTAACAGAAGAGTAGCAAAGGTCCTGGGGCAGATAAAGGGACAGCGAGGTGGGGGCTTCTGTGCCTTGGACTCGGCTCCTAGGGAGAGATTACAGCAGAGTGGAACGGGAAGAGGAGGGGCCAGGCCTCGCATGCCAGGGCCAGGAACTCCGATTTCAAGCTAAATTCAGTGTGAAGCCACTTGCAGGGTTGGGGGTGGGGAGGTGGGGGTCAGCTGTGAGACAGCAAGATCCTGATTTTGAGTTTATGTCTTAAAAAGGCCACTCGGGCCGCTGGGCAGAGAATGGATGGTAGGGCTGTGGGAGCCGATCAATACACAAAAGCACTTAACACCAGGGCTGGCGCGAAGCAAGTGTCTTAATAAGTAGTAACTGTTTCTCATTATGACCCTGTCATCCCTATTATCATCCGTCTGCCTTTGTCTGCCGGGAGTCAGTTTGTGATCCTCGGACATCCGGCTCCACGTGGGTCTGACTGAACATTCCGACCAGCTGGGGAGGCTTTCCATTTTGTTCCCTGTCCTTGTAGAAGTGATGGGGTAAAAACCAGGTACAGGTTGATACCCACAGCCAGACAGCATCCTGCATCAACAGCATTCCCGAAGCCAGCCCTGCTGCTGTTCTTCGGGGTGAGCTGTGGTTATTGTATAGTACCGAGGAAACCCCCTGAGTCTTGATTAGAGGTTGCATTCTCCACAGAAATACTGGCTCAGCAATAGGCGCTGCGGTGAAATCCAACGTATCTGGACATATTTTTAAATCTCTGGCCGGGCCTGGTGGTACAGGCCCGTAATCCCAGCTAGCCTGGAGTCAGAGGCAGGGAGATTGTTATCCTCACTGCCTGGGGTAGAGCGAATTGAAAGCTAGGCTGGACAATTTAGTGAGACCCTGTCTCGAATAAAAGGTAAAGACCAGAACCAAACAAATACATAAAAAATAACTCAAGACACAGGCTAGGGATCTGCTGCAGTGACTAACCTAGCATGGGTGAGTCTGGAGTTCAATCCCCCAGGACATGCAAAAACAGACGTAAATCTCTCTCCACTGTTCAGCATCCTCTCTTCCATCACCAGGGCTGATGACTTTCCCTTGAAGCCTAAGACCCTTCCTTCCCAGGACACAGCTCAGCAAGGTTGTGTGTTCCCCATCTGTGCTCCTGAGGTTTGGTCAGACCATCACCGGACTGGGATTCCAGGTTCTGTGGAATGTTGCCGTTCAGGGCAGTGTCCCTCTGTGTGTGCCTATTTGGACCTGTTTGGGGATGCCCCTCAGTTGCTAGCACGCTCACCAAGCGTGCATGAGGTCCTCAATTTGACCCCCAAAGCCTCAGAAGAGCAGGTGTGACAATGCTGGAAGTCACAGGTACCACCTGCGTGCCATGAAGGTTGTGTCTTTACTCTGCAAATCTTCGCAAATGTGCCACTGTAGGTAACACTTGCTTTCCCATTTTACAGATGGGAAAATTGAGGACCAGAAAGATTTTACCTCCCCATGACCACAGTGTTGTAAAGTGTCGGAGCTGATCATTGAGCTCAAGACTGTCCCACTCTGCTTGTTGGAGACAAGGTCTCACTCTGTAGTTCAGACTGACCTGGAACTCACTATGTAGCCCCTATTTTCCTTATTTTTGGACTTGCAGCACAGATGGGGGGAGGGAGCAGATATGAGCTTGAATCCCCACTGTGGGTCTTACTTGCTGTATGATGTGGCTATGCTGTTGGTCTGTGTCCACCTCCCATGATGTGGCCACAGGGCCTGTGAAATTAACACTGATGGGTTTCAATCCAAGCCTAACACATTATCAGTCTGGGACTAAGGTTAGCCCTCTTCTGGCCTCTGTGGGTGTCCACAGACATGTGACACACACTATAAATTCTGAAAATTGTCGGGCGTTGGTGGCCCACGCCTTTAATCCCAGCACTCGGGAGGCAGAGGCAGGCGGATCTCTGTGAGTTCGAGGCCAGCCTGGTCTACAGAGCAAGTTCCAGGACAGCCTCCAAAGCCACAGAGAAACCCTGTCTCAAAAAAAAAATCTGAAAATGACACAGCCATTACACTCATGAGCTCACAGTGGCTGTGGTCACCTGCATGAGACCTGGGCAAGACGGAGCTCATCAATATCACAGCCTGGTCTACATATTGAGCTCTGGGCCATCCAGGGCTACATAGTAAGACACTGTCTCAAAAACAAAAACACAAGAGAAGAGATGGCTCAGCAGTTGGTAGAGCGATGGCTGAACTCAAAACTGCTCTTCCAGAGGACCCAGGTTCAGTTCCCAGCACGCACATGGCAGCTCACAAATGTCTATAACTCCAGTTCCAGGTGACCCAACACCCTCACACAGACATGCATGCAGGCCAAACACCAAACGCACATTAAAAATAAAAAATACAAAAATAGACTGAAAAAGACAAGAAGCTGGCGGCGGCGGGGGGGGGGGAACACACACACTTGTTGGCAAGAGCAGCCCAGAGGGAATCAAGAGGGGGATGACAGAGAGAATAGCGAGCGAGAGGAGCTATTAGGTTAAGATACACTGCATGTATAGCAAGCGATCAAAAAAAAATCAATAACCTGTACTTATCGAGCACTTATTGCCCACCAGGCACCAAGTGGAGTGGTAACACACACACACACACACACACACACACACACACACACACACACACACACACACACACACACCGACTGGAGGCAGGGATTGTTACTAAGCCCATTTCACAGAGGGGGAAACTGAGTCTCAGAGCAGCAACCCACCAAGGAGAAGCCATATCTGGAGCGCTGCCATCTCAGACATGGTAATGATATTGCTGTTAAGCTACTGATGCCGGGTGGGTGGGGGCTGCCTCCAGAAGTGTCTTTACCCTCCTGCTCTGAGGCTGGGAAGGGCCTCCCCTGCCCACACCCCTGGGAAGGGGGGAGGCATTGTGCATGTACACACACCTGTGAGAAGCAAGACCCCTTCTCAGCTTTCTTCTCTGCTCCCAGAAAGACTTTTGACCCTGGTTTCTTGCATTCTTTTCTTTCGCCATCCATCCCGGGGGCGCCGGGCCTCTCTCGCGTGCCCACCCCTCCCCACCTCCCCACGCGCACCGCGGGGGCCATGGCCAGGCTGGAGACAAGGGCGCCTTTCTTCAAAGTGCTTCGCCCTCCTCTCATAAATTCCCAGGCTCGGCTCGATTGGCTGCGAGGAGAGAGAGCGGGGGCCCTGCTTGGCTCCCCTGATACAAAGTGAGTTTGTGTGCCGCCTGCCCACGTGAGGTCAATCACAGAGGCCTGGGTCCCAAGGGACCGGGTGCCAGAGGACCCGGTGTCTGCAGGATCATCTATGGCAGGACAAAGGCAAGCAGATAGTCCGGAAGCCAGGACAAGGGAGCCCACCTCCCCAGGCCTTAACCTGGCACCTATGGGCCATTTAACCCTTCCCCTGCAACCCTGAGCTCGCAGCCAAGGCAGGGGCCCCAGATCCCCCCCACATTCTGGCGCTTCTCTGAGCCGCTTCAAGAACCCAATTTCCCTACCGGGCCGTATTCCCAGTGTTTCCAATTTTTCGACACTAAAATTAGTCCAACTGTGCCTTCTAATTCTGTAGACACAACCCAGCTTGTGCAAATGTCCCCTCTTCCATTTCTGGGTAGATTTTTGCATATTACAGACGGCCAACTCTGGCGGGTGTTCTTGGTGGGGGG